TACATAATTTGTAACAGGGTAAGTGGTCACTTTAAACACAACTGTGGTCACGTGACCGCGTTGCCATGGCAGTGTTTCTATGTGTATATGCTTGTTAGCTTTGTGTTTTTCTAAAACCTTCATGTGTAGAATGTGTGGCAGTTCAGAAGTTCCTCGGTCACCGTGAATACAAATGGTGAGAAAGCATTTATCATAATGGATAACTTATTAATTATTAGCATCTAAAATATAGTTTAGAGCACTATTAGCATGTTAGCTTAGCGCCAACTGCTCTAACGGTTTGAATGTGTCGGTGGTTGTCCTTCCAGTCCCAGAAGAACCGAAAGATGAAGGCTAGGAAGGGGAAACCCTCTGCGGTGGTAGACGCTCTCTCCACGGAAGAAATGTCCAAAGATCAGGTGGGAGTTTCTGTTTAAAGCTAGCAAGAGGTAATAAACTGATGATCTACCTTTAATATTAATATTAATACATATTTAAAAAAATCTGAACCTCATAAAACCCATTCAAGTGTTTGGAAATAAACTGAAGCAAACCAAGTGACTTTTATCGAGAAAGAACCAAAACTCGAACTCCTTAGCAGATAAAAGTATGTATATTTAGCTTCATCTGCTGGAGAAATGTGAGAATTTCAGAGAAAATCTAGACTTTTTATCCAGAATCAAACTGGTCCAGCTGTCCTTTCTTAATTAAATATATAAGTGTGTGTTTGTGTGTAAATGTACCTACATACATACACATTTTAAAGTTATTTTGACAGAAATGGAAAATAACTACAGAAAAATTTATATCACTGCCTGATTCCTGTGCAGATTGTAAAGGAAAAGCCTTGAAATTCACAAAACCTTCCAGTTTTTAACCTTAACCTTCCAGTTTTTAACCTTACCAGTGGGAATAAACCTTAAGGTTTATTCCCACTGGTAAGGGGCTAAAAGAGCAACAAGTGGTTCCAGGTTAACAGGTTCAGACTGGTCCAAAACAGTGTTTGTCCCAGGGTAACGATTTTTTTATTTGCCTATTAGTCTCTAAAACAGGATCAATGAACCTTATAGGACTAATTGAGTCCCTAATCTGAACCAGTGGATCAAGGTTGTCTTTGACAGAAAGAAAGAAAACAGTACAGTAGCAGGTCCATTTTAAAGGTTAGAAATAAAAAGATGCTCCTTCCTTACCTGCAGCTGGCGGAGCACATCATCCGCCTCCGAGAGGAGCTGGACAGAGAACGGGAGGAGAGGAGCTACTTCCAGCTGGAGAGGGATAAGCTCCATGCCGTGTGGGAGATCTGCAAGAGGAAGCAGGTGGAGATAGAGGCAGAGCTGAGGAACAGCACCTGGAAGAAAAAGGAGGCTGAAGAGCGCCACCGAGTGGAGATAAATGTAAGCTGTCTTGGTTCTAACCGGACAGAACAACATTATACAACTTTTATCACAGTCAGTCCTGAGAGGTACCTTATTGAATCTGAATACTTAAAACTGGAAACTTTACAGAACCAGATTTTGCATTAAGTCTAACATTATTCTAACCTAAATGTAACGTCTCCTAAGCCCTAAATCTAATTTAAGCCTGATAGAACTTTCATTTTTATCCTGATCCCATCCTAATGTTCCTCCTTTTGGTCTGAACCAGTCCAAAATGTAACTTTGTTTCTGTGTATTCAGGTCTACAAGCAGAAGTTGAAGCATGTCCTGTCTGAGCAGCACAACGCGGTCTTTGAGGTGAAGGCGGATGCCATCTCTTCTTCCTTGCTGCGCCAGAACAGCAAATCTGAGCTGAAACTACGTGGAAAAGTCCTGAACCTGCAGGCAGAGAGCAGGGTGAAGAAGTTCGCGGAGCACAACTCTATCAAGCAGCTGAAGCTGGTGAGGTAATGTTCTTGTGCTGGTGTTTAAGTTTGTTTCTTCAACTGATGCCTCCTCATCTTCAACAGAAACACCAGGAGGAGCTGATTAAGCTCAGCCAGGAGTACAAGTGTAAGATTCAAGGTGAGCTCTCCTTTCATCCCCACCGTTCTCTCTCTTTTATTCTGTCCTTAATTCTCTCTGGCCTTGTCCCTCCACAGAGATGGAGACAAGGTCCTTCAAGAGGATGCACTCTCTGATAGAGACAGAGGAGAAGAAGAGGAGGTCAGCAATCCTTGATATGGAGGAGCAGATGAGGAGTCGCGTTGAGTCTCTGATGGAGGAGCATGACCAAGCTCTGCGGAAAGGGGAAGAGTACTTCTCTCAAATTCTACAGAAACAGCAGGAGGACTTGAACAAGTGGAAGGTAACCCACGGATCCCAATGACCTGATGTGTCAGTCACAGAGCAAAAACATCAGGTCCACGTCCTCCACAATCACACCTGAGTTAAATACCTTCCGTCCTTCTGCATGACCTGTTTGTCTGCACAGGAGGAGGTGAAGAAGCTGCAGAAGGAGAAGGCTAAGCACAAAAAAGATCTGACAGCACGTCAACAAGAGAAGCAGAATCTGAAGACGCTGCAGGAGGTCCGACAGAGGAGCTCCGAGCTGCACAGACAGCTGCAGGAAAGCAAGAGCTGCAAAGACTTCATGGAGGTGTGTTGGAGTCTTAAAGGTTTAAACCCAGAGAAACTCAGAGATAATTGTGTTGCTGCTGCTGCTGATAGATAATGGCACTAATGCTTATGATGCTTGATGAACAGAAGTACAGAGCAGAGAAGAAGCCGGTTTTAAACAACCTCAGAGAGGTGAAGGTGGAGAACGAGCTGCTCTTGCAGGCCTTCGAGAAGGTAAACCGTCTCCATCCTGCTGCTCTTCCTTTATCCTCCGTCGCTCATAGTGAGCTAACGCTTCCGGGTGTTTTCCTACAGCTCCAACAGGAACGTGACGAGTTGTTGGAGACACATAAGGAGAACATCCTGGGCGTCCAGCAGAGGACCAGCCTGAAGAAGCTGCTGCTCCAAAGGAAGCTGGCAGCACTGACAGAAACTCTGGAGAAGAAGGAGGCTCAGCTCAGCACAGCGCTCTGCAGGTTAGAGTCAGCATCGCACAGCAATGCTGCCAATAAGCCGAAGATAAGACCTGATGCTGTGATTCCATCCAGTATGAACATCTGAACAACCAGACATTTCTTAGCAGAAACTCTCGATCACAGTAGTCTCCCACACTGTTTACATTTGATTACTGCTGCACTTTAGGGGATGGAAATGTTGTGCAAGCTGTGCAAAACAAAATTTTGTTTTGTCTGCACTCCTGGTCCTGGTCTCTGCAGCTCATATAGTTCATTTTCTGCATGTTTGATTTGCAGGAATGTTAGCTACTGAAGACTTCTTGACTCCCACTGCACCCTGAATGAAGCTGCATCATCCATAAAGGGAACAGAGAGGGGCTCTTGTTCTCTTAAGGCCAGATGGAACCAGGCAATGGACGCGTATATTTCCAGAACCAGGAAACGATGCTATGATAATTTACTGGATTTTTAATTTCAAATCCCTTTTCCTTTAATGATCAGTTTA